TCTTTGTTGATTCTGCCTATTTCCCTTATACTAGAAAGGGCCCCCCGAAATCTGACTTTCAATTGGGAGTTTTCATGCCAGGAACCGCTTCACCCCCTAACTTTGTTCTATTCTATTTGCCTTCTCCTTAATTTCCATAAATGCGGCTAGCTCTTTTGCTAACAACTGTACGACCAATCTTTTCTTTCAGAATCGTGGTCAGAAGCTTGGGTTTGTACAAGCTTTCTCCTTTAGAATCAGAAAATTGGGTGTTTCTTCTCAAAGTACTCTAGGATGGAGAGATAGCCTTTAGAATGATTTTGAAGTTGAAATTTTAATTGCATGACTTGAGCACACATTTGGGATTGATCATCAGTTCTATTTTGGTCCAAGCATCATAGGAAGAGGAGGCTCGAGTTAAGTGACCAAGAAGAGGATTAGAAATTATTTGACAAAGCAAAATGAGAATAGAAAGATTGTTGTGTCGTCATTCCTCATAGGTAGGGTTCTGATTGTGCTTGGGTGGTAGAGGAATCTGTAGCAATAGTATTAAAGTTGGGATGACAATAATGGTTTTTGGAGGAGGATTAAAACCAAGAATAAAGGTTTTGAGTAGTTATTTCTATCAAGTTTTAGAGAAAGGTTTGGTAGTTGAATAATGGAGGAAGAACTGGATTGTTTTGCAAGTGACAACAGATTTCCAGAATTTTGAGAAGTGACCATAGGATCAATGAGCAAATCTGGTACCATATAAAGAGTAAGAATAAGAAGAGTTTGAGAAAATAAGAGCAGTTTTATAGAATGTTTACGTATTGATGATAAATATAAGTCCTTATCTAATAATATTCAAAAGGATCTAAGAGTAAGTTACAGTAATTGAATTCAAGTTGATGGTGGACTCTAATAATGTACATTAGATTGAGATGGAATTTCAACTTTATGAATTTTGAATTTTAGAATGGCGACTTCAAATGATACTAACTGGGTTCTAAATTTAATTGTATACATATTTATTAGATTATTTATATTTCCGTTGGATAAATATGTATTTTGACTCTATATTTAATCCATAAAAATGGACAATATTAGTATGCATATATGAAGTCTCTTTAATAAATAGAAGAAAATATTTTCTTTAAAAAATAAAGGAAAAACATTTTATTCGAATCAATAAAAATACACCTATCACATCCCAACCTACCAAGCCCATAAGTGCATTTTGAAAATTAATTTCTAAAATATTTAAGCAAACCAAACATGAAAAGAATTGAAAAACATTTCACAGGGGCCAAGAGAGCAGGAAGGTGCAACCCTATTTGATCAAGCTGAAGTCAAAAGAAAAGAAACTGATAAAACATTGACTATACACAATCAACAAAACCCAAAAGTACTCCCACCTTTAGTGAATGCCATAACAACATCAGTCAAGAAAAATTCAGCTCCTTTCCATTTTCCTGGTCACAAAAGAGGCATGGCTGCACCATCTTCACTAATCGATGTTATCGGTATTGGTCCATTTCTTCATGATGCAACTGAGCTCCCAGAGCTTGATAGATTTGGTTATCCAACTGGACCTTTATTAGATGCACAACAAATGGCTGCTAACCTCTTTGGTGCATCTCAGACATGGTTCTTAGTTTGTGGCACAACTTGTGGGATTTTAGCAGCAATTATGTCAACTTGTTCACCTGGTGATACTTTAATCCTTGCAAGAAACTCACATGTTTCAGCAACTTCAGCAATGGTGCTTTGTGGTGCTCTACCAAATTACATTCTTCCTGAATATAATCTTCAATGGGATATTGCTGGAGGTGTTACCCCCTCACAGGTAATTACTTGTTCAACTTTATACAAGTTTAAATGTCTGTTTGTGCACACTCAAAGTTGGAGGGCAAAATTGAACAACACGTTTATGTATTATGCCTCTATTTAAACCTGATATTCTCCACGTCCTAATAACTCACTTGAGTTATGCCTAATTTTTGCCTAAGTGATGGAATGTGTTACTTTACTTGTTTCTTCTACCTTGTTAACAACTAAGAATTGCGGAAAAGTAAGGACTCAGTATTTTTACCTAGAAACACCCGACTCAGAAAGGTGTAAAAATGAGAAAATGGCAAAATGACCCCCTAATCTATTACATAATTCTCAACTACACATTTATACTTTACAGGAGTCATACTACCCCCTTAAACTATTTTAAAGTGGAATTATTTGCTCCCTAAATGCTGAGGTGACAAAAAAAGTGTAGTTCACTCTCATTGAGAGAGTGAGAAGTAAAAATAATAATTAAAACTTTAACTTTTAGATTATTTTTTAGTTTATATTGGTTTTCTTTTTTTTAAAAAAAAAATTAAGTTTCCTTTAAGTTTTTATTTTTTCTTTTTACCTTTTTTCTCTTCACCATAGCAACACCAGCGGAAATTCAGCTCCACCACCAAGTCCTTCGTCAGCCTCCCACCATTAAGCGGATTTTCATCCTCAAATCACAATTTTTTCACGGTAGATCCATTTGAAAATTTGACAATAGCTTAAAATTAAAATTAAAATTGAAAGTCAAGAGGATCAAATTTTAGTGTCATTAATGGAGATATTTAGGAACCCTTGAGTGAAATTTATAAGTTCCCTTAGTTATGTTATCCTGACCCAACCACCGCGTTCATCTTTAAAGTTGCTAAGCTCTCAATAATTTCAACCAAAATCCAAAACCCACTTTGAAAAATCAAATCTGAAGTCTCCAAATATTGGACTATCACTCTTTTGTGTTCATCACTAAGCTTCAATGCAGCCCATTCATTGCATATCCTACCAAACAACAACAAATGGTAAATCTTTTTACCATCAATCGACCTTTATAATTCTTTTGTTTTATTGAACAAAAATCATGATAATTTTCAATTGATGTACAGAAGGTTTATGAAGAAAAGTTCACTCAAGGATTTCTAAATTGGAGCTTGCTTTGCTAGTTTGAAAAATCATTTCATCAAATTAAAGAAAAAAAAAGAGCAAGAAAGGAAAGAGAAGAGAAAGAGAAGAAGGGTAATATAAAAGGAAAAGTAAAATAAAGGAAAAAATAATATTTTTTTAATTTTTTAAAAGGTAAATTATGTGGAAAACGCGTGCCACTTAATTTTTTATACAAATCTGGGTGTTAGTTTTTAAGGGGGTATATATCATATTTTAAAAATGTTCAGGGGGTAATAGGACCTCCGTAAAGTATAAGTGTGTAGTTGAAAATTGGGTAATAGATTAGGAGGGGCTTTTGGCTAATTTCTCGTGTAAAAACCAAGACCAGCACCTCTGCATGATTTGTCCTAAATTCACTAAACCAATGAGCCCTAACAGAATACATATAAAGTAACATTATATTTTAAACGATTATAGCAAGCATATTAGTTACTCAACTTACTATGTTACGAAAATTGGAATGTTATTATGTGTCACATTATTGCAAGTAACTCGATATGGTTTACGAACATTAGATACATTCACTACAAACAATAAATGAAACTGGAATTAGCTACTAACTCGTCGTAAATTGCTTGTAACTAACATAATTTAATGATAATCCATCATCAATTCGTCATTAAATAGAATTAGCACTGAATTTTGCTGTAAAAATATGTTAGATATTGTTTCCATGTTCAGGTGAAAATGGCAATTGAAGAACTAGAACAAGAAGGCAAAAAGGCAGCAGGAGTTTTTATTACATCACCAACTTACAATGGAGTATGCAGTAATATTTCTGAGATATCTCAAATATGTCACTCTCATGGGATACCTCTAATTGTGGATGAAGCTCATGGTGCTCACTTCAAATTTCATCCTGACATGCCTAAAACTGCTCTTTCTCAAGGAGCAGATCTTGTCATACAATCTACACACAAAGTTTTGTGCTCATTTTCACAATCATCAATGCTACACTTATCCGGGGATCGCATCGATAGAGATAGAGTGCACAAATGTCTTCAATCTTTACAAACCACTAGTCCAAATTGGCTTTTATTAGCTTCCTTGGATGCAACTAGAGATGAATTAAGTAAAAATCCAAACACCCTTTTCAATGAAGTAATGGAACTAGTCATACAAGTGAAAGAACTAATAAACCACATTCCTGGAGTCTCACTTTTGGATCTCTCATGTTTCTCCAACAACTTCTCTTTTATGGACCCTTTGAGGATGACAATTGGTGTACAAGAACTTGGCTTATCGGGTTTCGATGTATATAACATATTGTCAACAAGTCATGGAATTGAGCCAGAACTTATTGGAACTCAATCTTTCACATTAGCCTTTAGCTTAGGAACAACTAAAGAACATGCTCAAAGACTTGTTAGTGGATTGAAGTATTTATCAATCAACTTCTTGCAAGAAGAAAGGGAGATTATCAAAATAGATCATGGTATAGAAAGGGTACCATTTGGAGAAGTTTACATGAGTTGTACACCAAGAGAAGCCTTTTTTGCTAAGAAAAGAAAGTGAATTTAGGAAAAAAAGTATTAGGGGGAAGTTTGTGGAGAATTTATTTGCCCTTTCCTCCAGGTATCCCAGTGCTAATCCCAGGTGAAATCATCACAAAGAGAGCTATGGATTATCTCATTCAAGTTAAGGACCAAGGAGCTTTTCTTAAAGGGGCTGTTGATCCTCTACTTAGCACTGTGGTTGTTTGTGATTTTTGAGAAATATTATATTTCATGTCAATAAAGTTGACCATTCATGCTACATTTGAAGGCTAGCTCTTGCTTCGGATCACTTTGTATTTCGTTCAAAACTAGATAACTTGGCTTGTTCAAAAAACAAATTGTAACACAATGTGATCAAATAAACATAATACATAGTTCATTAAAATCGTAGTCAATCATTTTTCATTATAACATACATAAAGTTGATACAATATTCCAAAAGGATTAATGATGTGTTACAACTTATTTAATGTGTCAAATGGCTACTAAAGGCCAATAACACAACATTAGAAGCTACCCTTTTAAGAAAAGGCACCACATTATTACTTTTGTTTTTGACACTCAAATCATTCATTAATCTCACTTTATTACTCCATCATAATCTCTTCTTCAAGCAAAGCTTCACTTAAAAAATTTTGCTTCCCCACCCAAAGTTGTTTTAACTTCATTTGAAATTTTGTCAAATACACAAATCTTTGTGCATAGGCACATTCTTAGGAGTTTGCTACAATGTCCATCTATAAACTCCTCTGTGAGACAAGCTTTTCCACACGACGAGTCGGTAAAACATAATCCTTTGAAGGTTTGGCTATGTGATTTGCAAATTTGCTGAGCTTGCACCTCTACAATCATTCACAAATGTTAGAATAAGAGAGACATAATCGAAAGAAATATTGCTCGTATAATATTTAGAGGAATATAAACAAACAAATTATTTCAGGGTTTTTCATAGTTGTCAAATAACTTTAAAGCACGTTATAGTTCACAATTCTTTAGGCTTTACTTATTTTAGACTACAAGTTTCAAAAATCTTTCTTTCTTTGTTAAACTTCGTGTCAAGTCTGTAACATCCGGCAATGTGAAATAATTGAAGAGGCTTAGAATTGGAAATTTTCATTTTGGAAAGAATTTTAAAGTTTTGGAAATTTGGCTAAGTATGGAAATCAGTGAATTTTTGGCCAACTTTGAGCAGTCGTAACTCCTAGCTCAGGATGAGTTAGGAGTAGTTCCAGTTATGGTTACAAAGTTCGTGGAATGATCTTTCTAACGCCGCCGAGTTTGCTCAATTCCGAGTTCGTATGAGCGAGTTATGGCCTTTGAAAGTTGGGCAGTTGGGCAAGGAATCCGTCCGGAAAAATTAAGGGTATTTTGGTCTTTTCCCTAGCCTTTTATTTTGGTTATATAAATGTGTTAGACTGATCATTTTGATCAGTTTTACCATTTTAAAAGGAGTGAGAGTGAGGGTTTTGAGAGAAGAAGAAGAGAAGAAGAGAAGAAGAGGAGATCAAGCAAGGAGATCATTGTGGGTTTTCGTCAGGGGTGATCCCTATCAAGGTATGTGAGCTTTTAGTGTTGGGTGATCCTTACCCCCACACACCTAGCCCCTTTTATTCATTGAGAAAGGTTTGGTTATGTTATTAAAGTGATTAATTGTTGGGGTTGAAGTTGTTGGAGTTGTTAAAGTTGTTAGTTGTTGTTGTTGGAATTATTGTTGGTTGTGGGACATGATTGGATTGTGTCTTTGAGTGGTATTCTATTGAATGTTGAGGGATTTTATGTTTCTAAGTGATTGGGGCTGGAACCTTTGAGGTTAGAGGATTTAGAGTTGGAGACGTGAAGGAGAAAGTCGGGCAGTTTGCGAGGAGCACGTCCGCGTCGCGGACTTGTTCCCTCTGTGAACAAAATCTGCTCCGCGTCGCGGACAGGACGCGGACTCCACTGTTTTCAGAAATTATGTTCGAAGATTTTCTTAAGTTTGGCTGTCCCAAATCATTCCTAAATCATTCCTAAACATCATGAGACCCTTCCAAACACCAATCAAGTCCTTGAATCCATAATTCAATTCAAGGAGAGTGAGAAGTCAAGTAAAGTTAGAAGTCAAGGAAAGTCAAGAGTTAAGAAGTAAGTTCAAGCAAGTCTTCCAAGCTTTTCAAGAGTCTTATTGAACGTTTTAACTTCATTTTTAGACTCAAGTTTCAAGTCAAGCAAAGAGCTTAGAGTTTCAAGCTAAGTAAAGAGTCTCAAGACTCAAGTTAAGTCAAGAGTGTAAGTTGAGTTCATTTCTCAAAAGCTATTAGGGAACTAAGTATTCCCAAAGAAGTTTATAAATGTTTTCACATTTAAGATGAGAGGAAACTGAGATTTCCAAAAGAGTTTTGAGAAGTTTGAGTACTATCTCTTTTTGAGAAAAGATGAGTTTTGCAAAAGAGTTTCTAAAACATGATTAGTATGGCAAATCGAGTATGTCATCAATGATTAAACAGTATGGTCTCTAGATATACCATCAATGTTTAAGCAGTATGAATATCCCGAGTCATCAATGATCATATTAAAAATATGGTTTTGAGATGTTCTTTTTAGAAAGAGTTTTCAAGAAAAAGGAACTATGTTTCCAAAAGAGCCTTTGGGCTAGATTTTGAGTAATTATCTCAATTAAAGAAAGATTTGAGTTGATTTACACCCTTAGCTAGTAAGAGTAATCTCATTCGAGGACGAATGTTCCCAAGGGGGAGATATTGTAACATCCGGCAATGTGAAATAATTGAAGAGGCTTAGAATTGGAAATTTTCATTTTTGGAAAGAATTTTAAAGTTTTGGAAATTTTGACTAAGTATGGAAAAATGTGAATTTTTGGCCAACTTTGAACAGCCATAAATTCTAGCTCAGGATGATTTAGGTTGAGTTCCAGTTATGGTTGCAAAGTTCGTGGAAAGATCTTTCCAACGCCACCGAGTTTGCTCAATTCCGAATTCGTATGAGCGAGTTATGGCCATTGAAAGTTGGGCAGTTGGGCAAGGAATCCGTCCGGAAAATTAAGGGTATTTTGGTCTTTTCCCTAGCCTTTTATTTTGGTTATATAAATGTGTTAGGCTGATCATTTTGATCAGTTTTACCATTTTAAAAGGAGTGAGAGTGAGGGTTTTGAGAGAAGAAGAAGAGAAGAAGAAGAGAAGAAGAG